ATACTGAGATTGAGAAAAGGATTTTCTTTTTTTCAAAATATTCCTACAGCAATATAACCGTATTAACAAATATATACAAAAATACAAGGAATATTCAAAGTCTTGTACATGCTGTTAAAGGCCCGTCGGTAATTAATGATACATACAAGGTTACACTTGCTCCTGTAGGAGTTAGATAGATACCAAGAACAGAACTTGAACTTAAAGTTGTCATTCGTAATATATTGGACGCGCTTGTGGGTCTACATGAATTAGGTTATGTTCACCGAGATATTCAGTGGCCTAATATTCTGCGATTGAATGATTATAGTTGGATATTGATTGATTTGGAATGTGCTGGTGTTAGCGGTGAAAAGGTGCAGTTTAAACCATTAGAAGGATGGGCACCTGAAACAAATGAAACCGAGGTATACATAACAAAGGCAGATGTTTATATGGTAGGAAGGTTATTGAGCAAAATTTTCTTCTCATTATCTGAAGAAGCACGTGAGTTTGAGAAGGCCACCACCACCAATTTGAAGTTTCGCTTAACAGCTCAAGAAGCTCGACAGCACTCTTGGCTTTCAGATATACAAGAATAATTATTAATTTATGGATAAATTTGTGCTATCAGTTGTAATAGAATAGTAGTGTGCAGCATATATTAATTCAGTATGATTTATTACATAATAAAGAATTTTTATTGTTTTATGCACTAAAATAAATATTTCATGACTTCATATAATTTCTTTCATATATAATGTGATAATTCGTTAATCTGTTAATCTGATTTGCTTTCAGCTGAAATATTTAGAGATGGTAAAGATTTTGATTTTCGTTTAATCATAAAAAGACAGAAATTTTTATCTTATTGTTATCATTCTGCAATTACATAATAATATTGATTTTTTTCGTCTTTTTTACAAGGTCCATAATTACGTTAGAACCATTTAATCACAAAAAAATTTTTGAATTTGATTCTTAGGCTAAGAATATTATTGTTAAATAAGGTAAATTAGAATCTACAATTCTAAATATAAAAAGTAATTATTAAAAATCTCTTAATTATTTCAGTTTACTTAAAAATATGAAAAATATAGGATCATATCTTATAAATCATTTCATTATATATATCATGCAATATTTATTATGTATTGCTTTTATAAAAAAAAAAAATTATTAGAGATGATTAATGAAATCATTAAAAAGTTTTTTTTTAATTGATTATTGACATAATATATATTATATCGATTAATAAACAAACTTCTTTTTTACATAAACTTTTTTTTCTCTTTTGCATAAACCTTTTTTTTTCTTGTATTTGAAAAATATTTTAACTACTAATAAGTTATTAAACTTTTCTATATAGATATAAAAGAGTTATAGATCCAATCAGGTAATAAAAATTAATGATAATTTTGATTGGTATTTCTTTTTCTTTATTAAATATTAAAAAACTTTTCTATTAAAGCTTTTGATAAAAAATTAATGATATTTTCAAAACTATTTATAAAAAATGAATGAAAATTTTCTGTGAAAATATTAGCCTTATATAATTTTTTTTTTGAAATAAAGTAAAAATATACTAAAAATAATATAATAAATAAATATCAAATTAAAAAGAAAAAATCCACTCAGATAATTAAAAAAGAATATTTATTTATGAGTTTAGTGAAAAATTTAAATTGAAAAAAAGAAAGAAATTTGATATAATAAGCTGAAAATTAGTATAATACTAGAATTAAAAAATGTTAATATTCTTAATAAATTTGAAGTTTTTAAATATAATACAAAATATAATTATTAGCTTACTTGTAAATAAATATCATCATAAGTTAAAATAAAACATTTTTGAATTTAATAATAAATATAAAGAATTATATAAAGAAATAATAGTTTAAGTTAAATTATTGATTAAACTTTAATAATTATACAATGAAATTTTTAAAAGGTATACTTTTTAAACTGAATTATAGAATACTAATTTAGATTTATTACTTACTATACAAAATTAAAAAATTTTGAATTGCAGTAATTTGTATAATAATATATTTAATCTTATTAATATTATTTAAAAAAAAGTATAAAATTCATACTTTTTTTTAATTTAAAATTTAATACTAGTAATTGTCTTATATAACTTTTTTGGATGATTATACTTTAGATTAAATATTATGATACTATTATTAATGATAATACAACCAAAACATAATATACCTTTAAATATATTTGTTAATATAAATAATAATAAGTCAAATAATTAAATATCTATTAATAATATTTTTTATAAATATTATAATACCTATTTAATTTTCAAAAAATTATTATATATATTATATATAATATATTTATAAAAATTTTAATATATTTTTATTATTTAAATAAGTTTTATTAAAATTCTTATTATATTTACTTATATTTACTAAAATATAGTAACTGTTTTAGTCTAAAACATAATTTTAAATAACAAAACTTATAATAAAATCATAATTTATTGAGTTATGTTTAATTTTTATTATATTTGATTTTTTAGTGTTCAATTTTTTTTGAAATATATGTGACATAATATCAGTAATATAAAATTTTATTAGATAATTAATATATAGAACAGAATAATATTACATTTGATATAATTAATATTTGATTATTCTCTATTATATTTTATTGTAAATAATAAAAAAACTTTATTTTATTTATATCAAAAAAAATATAAAAATATTATTAATTAATAATATATAAAAATAATAAAAAAAATTATATTTTTATTATATTAAAAATTATAAAGATTTTTAATAATAAAATTATACAATTTTTATTGAAAAAATTATTTTAGTAAATTATTATTTTGCAATTAATATTAATTAAAAAATTTTTATTAAAATAAATAAATTAATTATTTTTTTATAATTTATAAAATTAATATTTATTTATTATTATGATTATCATAGTATAATCTAAAAGATTTTTAAAAAAGGATTTTATATAATAGAATATTAAATTAATTTATCAATAATTATTAAAATTAATATATTTAAGTATGTAATTTCATAATCTATTAATTTTTATTTATAATTTACAAAACTAACTAAAGTATTCTTTACCTCAAATTTAAATTTTATGAGTTTTTTATAAAAAATTATAACTGACTCTTACTTATTTTTAATTTTTAATAAATGTAAAAATAAAATTGTAGGCTAATATTTTATTATATTTATTTGCTACCTTTATTAAAATATACTTAAGTTTAAACTATTAATATTATATAAAACTAAATAAAATTAATGATAATAATATACATCAGAAAAAATGATATTTAAACAAATAAGTCTTTTTATTGTATATTTTCTAAAATTAATACTATTAAATAAATCTTTAAAATATTATTCTTTTTACAAATAATATTATAATCAAATAATTTTTACTAATTTTTTTTAAACATAATATATTATTGATAATAATATATTATAATTATTTTCACTTTCAGAACTTGAATTTTTATTATAAAATAATATTGTCTCATTCTATTAAAACAGCAAAAATACTTTTACTTATACTATTATTATTAAATAAATATCATATTTCATATTATTTAACTAATACTATAAATAAAAATTCATAGATTTAATTAAAGGTAATAAAAAAGTTAAAATAAAACTCTCTTTACTAATAAATTATAAAAAAAAACTTATATTTTAAAGATTAGGTTAATAGGTTTATCATAAAATTAATAAATCACATGATTATAATGAACTCTAACATTTATTATAAAGATTTTCAAATAAAATAGGCTAAGAAACTAAAGCCTATTAATTCTAAAATTTAGGCTATCATTAATAATATTAGAAAAACCTTATTTAATTTCCAATAATAAACTATTGAACTTTAAATCTAATGGAGATGTCCAATTCAATTCCAATTAAAATAGATTCTGATTATAAAATTTTGATCAAATTATAATTTTATATACTATAATTTTAACTAAATTTATAATGCTAGCTTAACTTAAAAATTTTAAAAAATAATAAAATCATTTAACTAAAATGATTTTTATCATTTAATTATACCATTAAATGATTATTTAAAGTTTCTAAATTTATTTGATTATGAATTTAAGACTTGATAAGATTTTATTATGAAAAACTTGCTTAATATATACATTTAAAATTAAAGTAATTAAAATAATTTTTACTAAAATAAATATAGTAGGATAATCAGAAATAAAAGAAGTTTGTAAAAAAAAAAATTTTACTATATATTAATAAAATGTAAATTTCAAAATTTTTAAGTAAAATTTAATTAATTCTCATTTATTTTTTAAAATTTTTTTTTCTAATAATAGACTGAATGTTTTATCATTTTGTTTTTTTTTTTTAATTCCATAAAAATTACTTAAAATATTGATTTCTTTTTCACCATAATTAATAAGTTCTTTATTATTTATTAGAAACTATTATAAATCATAAATTCACATAACCTAATATAATTTTTGTTAAAACTAATATTACAAATTAATTCTATAGATAGGACTCATATTATTATTTTTAATAAATTATATTTGAATAACTTCAATTACCATATTTAAATTATTTTAAATATCTGATAGTATTATATTATCTAATTAAAAAACTCAAATTAATTTATTTAAAATAAAAAAAAATTAGCTAAAATATTTAATAATAGATAATAATTTAAGTATTATATTATTTTATATTACATCTTCCTTTTACTGATTCAATAATTTAGTAAAAAATTTTAATAATATTTGAAAAAGAAAGCTATCTAATTAAAGTAATTTTTAAAAAAACTAATCCTAATTTTTCTAATGTATTTGAATTAGTTTAAGATTAAGTAATCTTTTGTATAAACTGCTAAAATATCTATAGATATTTTTTAATATTATATTATATTTTTTGAAATATGAAACTTATTCTATAATATCTTTACTAGTAGATATAATCAATAAGTAATACAATAATTTTCTGTTATAAATAAATTTAAATTTTTTTAATTTTACAGTAACTCCATTTTAATGACCTAACATTTTCAATAAAAATTTGATATAAAAATTTCATAAAAATATTAAATTTATAATTTATAATTTTTATAGAATTTCAATATAATGTATATATTATTTTTTAAGTAAAACCTTAAACTTAATACAGAATATAAGAAAAAACATATACAAAAAATAAGGAAAAAATATATATTTTATAATGATTTAACAAATGCAAAAATCACAGATAAAATATATATATTATAATACTTTAACAGATGTAAAAATTACAGATAAATGTATATTTTATAATGATTTAACAGATATAAAAATTACACAAATATATTTTATAATGCTTTAATTAAATAATTTAAATTTATTTATATAATAAAAAAATTAAAAATAAAAAATATAAATTTAAAAATCAATATTTTTTAAATTTATCCTTTTTTTATGCTTCTTGTTCTTTCTGTAATATTTCTTTTGATATAAATTAATATAAAAAAAAATGAGTATTTTAATTATTTGTAAAAAAAAAGATAAATTTCTTATCTTCTTTATTTCTATTAATTGAATCTTCATTTTCATTTTCTTTAATATTTGTTAATA